ATCCAGGTTTGATCAGCAACCAGTTCCACGACCTTTGACATCTTTCCCCAAGATTTAAACTGTAATACAGTTTTCAGCAGTTAGAAAAATTCCCCATTGTGACAATAAATGCTAGATCTATCCCATCTGGTTGTGGCAGCCCCAGCCTTACAGATTATGAAGTACTCAAGCTGCATTTACCTCACAAGCCTAATAATAATTTTTATGTCAAACAATTTTGTTTGTTAACTACAGGCCCGTTTCGTACTGGCCACTTCGTACCGCAGGATACGAGGCAAGGTGGGAGCTCTAATTCTTTACGAATTCTTAGTTAAAAAAGCACTTAGGGAGATCTTTTTCACAATAAATTGACGAATATTTACAGGTATTTAAGTCCATTTTTAAAATAAATATCCGTCGCGCACTCATTATGAAGGCATTCACGTCGTGACAGTAGTCTCCGCACAACTAATACATATTGATCCCTCTTCCAATTCATTTTAACCCTCCCCCCCCCCTCCCTCACAAAAAACAAAAAACAAACAAACAAAAAAAAAGACAAAAAAGACAACAACAAACCCCCCCCCCCATACCAAAACCAAAACAAAAACAAAAAACCCCAAAACAAAAACAAAAACAAAAACAAAAACAAAAATAACCCTACTGAGATCAGCATGCTTTGGGAAGTGAGTCGCAGTATGCGATTGGGGAAAAAAAAAGGAAACCGCGGTCCACACTGATAACGGACAACTGTGACTTCTTCGGACCTCTCAAGTTTCTTGACCCCACATAAAACTCTACCTAACATATGATCCCAATGTAAAACCATAAAAAAGTAATACGAATATTATCGTAAAACAAAATTTTATCGTCTTGTTTACTGCCCCACGGTAGGTTCCCACAATAATTCGCCCTGGCCGACCACAGCATTCCATTTCGCTGACTCCGTTCTCTGAAGGGGGATTAACAACGTTATAGCCAGTTAGGCGTTTAGTACATTACTTATCGTTTTCATTCGACTTCGCTTTTGGAGATTAAAATTCGGCCTTGAATGTCAGCGAAACGTTCAGCTCCGTTTATGTCCAAAGTGGGGTTGGCACGTGTTCAATTTTGAGATTTTGAGGCAAATGAAACTGGTGTAGAGGTTAGACACTTTACCGTCGCAGGCAGGAGACTTGAGTTTAATCCTAGTAAAGGACTTT